CTCCTCCTTCTTCTTCTTCTTCTTCTTCTCCAGGGATTGAACCCAGGGGCTAACCACTAAGCCACATCTCCATCCCTTTTTATATTTTATTTACAGACAGGATCTCGCTCAGTTGCTCAGGGCCTCACTAAGGTGCCGAGGCTGGCTTTGAACCTGCCATCCTCCTGCCTCAGCCTCCTGAGCCGCTGGGATGACAGGCCTGCGCCACCACACCCGGCACTTTCCATGAATTCTTTAGGGAATTTCCAGACCACATAATCTCTCACTCCTCTGAATTCATTCACCCACTCATCCATCCCTCCTCCCGGCACTTTTTATCGGGCACCTACTTTATGTCCGCAGCATCTCAACAGGCAGGACCACTGTCCTAATGGAAGGCTCAGCCTAGCAGGAGACAAGCCTCAAACAAGCAACCACATAGATCAATCACTTTAAACTGTGATCTGTGCCATGACAAGAGAAACACAGTGCAAGAAGTAGGAGGGGACATAAACAGGGGTCTCTACTTCTGCAGAGTCATAAAGGAAGAGAAAGAATATTAAGTCAGACTTAAAGAAAAGCTGGAGTTCTCCACATGAAGAGAAGGAAGTATGGAGGCAGAAATGGCAATATGTGCAAAGGCCCTGAGGCCCGAGAGATGGAGGGGGGAGGGGGCTGGAACACAGAGGGGGCAGAAAAGCAGCATCAGGTGAGATCAGGAAAGAAAAGAAAGCTGGGTCCAGAGGATGGAGCATTATAGGTCGGTTAAGGATTCTGGATTTTGGCCCTAAGTGTGCTCATCAAGAGCCATTTAAGAGTTTTAATCAGGGATACATTAGGCCGAATCCAACTCGTATCTTCAGAAGTTTAATAAGTTAGGCAGCCAGGGACACAGTAGTCCCTAAATCTTACCTCTGGAACCAGCTCCTCCAGGGCTTGTATCATGGCCTGCTCCATCCACAGCGTCTAGTAGGTGAACCTCACAGTATTGCAGACAGGACTCGGTCCCCCGAGCCACAGCCAATGGGCTCACAGGACGGCACCAGCCTGAGGCCCACTCCTCCACCCATGGCCAGGGGTCCAGGATTTGTGACCAAACCCAGAAGGTAGGCCAGGCCCATCAGAGGATCTCCACTGGGACTTTTAACTAAGAGGCCAGGGGCAACTGCTAGTTGGCTGCTGAGAGCAGGACAGAATGGACACGGGGCAGCCGTGGGACCAGGGCAGCCACAGTGGGAAGTTGCAAAACACTGTCTGGCGGAGAGGACCACCCTGCAAAGCCTTCCCATGGTACCTAAATGAAATCCAGATTTTTGCTGTGACCTCCAAGGTCTTGAGTCTCCAACTTCATGCCAAGCTACTCGCCCCTTATACTCCAGTCCTGCCGGACTCCCTTTTTTTGGTTCCTTAACCGAGCCAAACAACTCTCTGCCTCAGGGCCTTTGCACCGGTTGCTCCCATTTCTTGAAATTTCTTCTCTCTCTTTATACAGAGCCTTGTCATCCTTCAGCTCTGTCACCTCCTCAGAGGGAACGGCTTCGGCAACTCTCTAAAGTAGGTGGCCCGTTATTCTTTACTCCATACTTATTCCCTTCACAGCTCAAAGTTTTGTAATGTCTTATTTTTGTCGATTTTTTTTTTTTTTTACTTATTTTTATAGGTTTCCCCTTAAGAACATAAGTTCCGTGACAGCGGGGTCCTTGACGGTCTCGGTGTCATTGTATTCTCCAGGCCTAACACCTGGGGGGTGCGCAGACATCTGAAGGAGGCAGAAAGGAGAGAGGGGAGGAGGGGAGGCAGGAAGTGCAGTCTGTGCCATTTCGAGGAAGGCCGGAGCGTCTCAAAGGAGGAGACGGTGACTTCCTGGGGCGAATAGCTTCCTCGCCCCAGTTCCTTGAGGCCCAGCCGAATCCCATTCTCTGATTCCTAGGACATTCTTGCAAACACCTCCCCTTTCCTGAAGCAGCCTAAGTGGATCTCTGTTGGGGATTACTGAGCCAGCACCGACTCAGAACTAATACCTCTAGAAGCTTCCAGAACTGGGGGACACCTGACCATAAGGGTACAACTAAGCATCTCTCTTAGAAAGAGCAGGACAACCAGGCCAGCATCGCAGTTAGTCCGAATGTCAAGGAAGGGCTTAAGCCGAGCGCAGTGGCACCCGGCTGTGGTCCCAGCGACTGCAGGGACAAAGGCCGGACAATCCCAAGTTCAAGACCAGCCTGGGCCACTTAGCAAGATCCTGTCTCAAATCCAATCAACAGGGCCTGGGGATGCAGCTCAGAGGTGGAGCACTGGACTAGCGTAGGGGAGACTCTGGGTTTGATCCCCAGTACCAGGAAAAGTTTTTTAAAAAAGTAAGGAGGAGGAAAAACAAAAGAAAACCCTCCAAGTGAGTTTAATTCACAAAGATCCAAGACAGAGGAAACCAGGAATGAAAGCCACCATGAAGACAACAGCTAGGCCAAGGCACCAAGCCAGACGCAAGCAGCTCCTGGAGGTTGAGTTGATGCAACGTTGATGGCTTTGTGTGTGTGTGTGTGAATGGACGTCAAATCAATCAAACAGAAACCAGGCTTTGAGGTAGTAATTTGGACTTAGTGGACGCTTCTCTGACTATTTAGGTAAAAAAAAAAAATTGTTGACTTGATTCCAACTTAACTAGCTTGTATTCGCCATTTAAACTTCGACTGTCATAACAAACAGACTCCAAAAGATCAAGCACTTGACACAATAAATCGCTGTTTCCTGTCCACACAAGGACTACTGCAGGTCCCGCTGAGTGGCTTTCCTGGGTGGGTTGGCTCCAGGTGGTGACTCAGGGGACCAAGCTGCTCTGTCTTGTAGTTCTGCCACCTTGTGGCTGCAGGCTGGTACTGCAGTCATCCACCTGGGGGATGCAAGGGAGAGAAGAAGAGATGGTGAGAAGGTCAAGGTCATGCGCCAAAACAGCATCACCTTGGCCCGGAGTAACGCACTTCAGGTCACGTGCCACTGATGAGGACAAAATGGTAGGGTCCTGTCCAGCTCCCATATGGAAAACGTCACCTATGGCAAAAGAGTCGTAGCTCCGCCTTTCATAGCGTGTGCACATCTCCTGTCTTTGGCAGGAGACTAGTTAGTCGTCTCTGCCACACACGTAAGTAGGAAAAAAATGTTCTCCATAAAAACAAGACTCAAGGTGAAGAGCCCTTGAGGTTCGTAAATTCAGCATTTTAAGATAAATTCCAAGGCCTCCCGATTTTCTGTTCCCACATTTCCATCCTTAGACCCCGTCAAAAATCAGGTAAAATATCCCATTGTATACAAATACACTACCACCTCCCACCCAGGTACAATATCCCATAATATCCAGAGACGACATCCAGCAAAGAGCCAACTCCTACCTATGGGTCTTTCAGAGTGAAGAAACCGACTCAGAAGCATCCTATTCGATTTTTTTTTCTTATTCTCACTGGACAAAATGGGGTCCTGGATCCCTAAGCCATTGAGGGGGGTGGACTTAATACGGGGGAGAAGGACCAGTGGTTGGTTCTCAGCCCCTGCTGCCCCCCTGTTGGGTTAGCATCACCTACAGGAATTTTTATTTTAATTCCAAATGTCCAGTCTCTACCCCAGAGATTCTTACATAATTGAGCCAGAGTGAATGAAGCTGGACTTCAGAAATCACCAACCGAGAGTTTGGACCCAATTACATTCACATTCGTGTTGAGTTTGGGCCCACGGGTGTTTATTAAAAAAAAAATCAAGAACTTCTTAAAACAATCAAGCAAATCATGCAAAAAAAAAGTGTTCCTGTGTGAATCTGAGTAGAGGGGAGAGAGGCGCTCTCTCTGTTCTGTTCTTGCAATATTTTTGTATAGATTGAAACTATATCAGAATAAAACGTGACCATAAAGGGGAAAAATGGGAACTTGGGCCTCCCAGCCAGGATTTTTCAGCTTTTCTTAAAAAAAAAAAAAAAAAAAAATCTGGAAAGACTGGCTCTGTGTTCCTGCAGAAATTTAAAGCAAACCTGAGCGGTCAGCCTTCTGAGCCTCCCGGGCAGGGCCCTGGGCACCTGCATTGCGGGCTAGAAACCAGGTGAGCCTGGCGATGCTCAGGTAGGCCTGGCACCGGGCTCTGGAGTCCTCTACATTCTTGTCCCCCCACCACCACCCTTCTGTTCCAGCCTCTCCCAGCCCTAAGTATAGCTTGGATTATTTTCTGCCAAACACAGCACCTTGCACTTGCCCACACTGAAGCTCGTCCCTGGCAACTCCTCTGCCCACTCACACAGCCTGGCAAGCGCTTCCTGCGGCTTGATCACCAGCGGCTTGGTATTTCACTACCTGGCAGCACTGTCACCCGCCAATGTGGAGTGATGGCCACCCGTCCACCTCCGGATCAGTCAGGCAAATGGCCAACCGGAACGGCCCCATCGACACCCCGCGGCTCCCAATTAATTAATTAACTCATAACACACACACACCCCCAAGCAGCTGGCTGCAAGAGAAAAGATAAGAAAAAGAGAGAAAAAAAAAAAAAAAACAACTGTGGCTAATAGCAAGTGACAAGGGATCTGGTCTGGTTGGGGGCTTTTTTTTTTTTGGTACTGGGGATTGAACCCAGAGGTGCTCAACCATGGAGCCACATCCCCAGTCCCTTTTTTAAAGTTTTTTTATTTTGAGACAGGGTCTTGCTAAGTTGCTTACAGCCCTGCTAAATTGCTTGAGGCTGGCCTCTAACTTTTGATCCTCCTTCCTCAGCCTCCTCAGCTGCTGGGATGACAGGTGTGCACCACCATGCCCAGCATAGATTCAGGGCTTCTTAACAGCAGCATTATTGATACTTGGACAACTCCCTGTTGCTGTGGCACTGTCCCATGCAAGGTAGGACATTCAGTAGCCCCCCTGGCTTCTACTCTCCAGATGTTGGTGGGACAACTCCCCTCCACTGCCAAATTGTGACAACCAAAATTGTCTCGGGACACTGTCGAATGTTCCCTGGAGGGGGGAGGCTAATGCTCTTAAGGCAGAATCACTGGAATGGGGAAGTTGAAGAACTAAGCCTTAGGAAAGATGGCAACCTGAGTCCATTTGGGGCTCTACAGAGGAAGGACTAACAGAGTCTGAATCGGAACATCACCATTTACTGTGCATCCACTTGACAAGTTACTTAACCTCTCTGGGCCTTATAGTTTCCTCACACAAAATGAGGTAATCGGGATAGGATGGGTCACATGGTGGATAGCAGTAGCTTAAAACACATGCTGTGTGTCCGTGTGGTCAGCTGGGGGGCGCTGGGGATGGAGCTCAGGGGCAGAGAGCTTGCACAGCATGTACCAAGGCCTGGGTGGGGAGGAGAGGCTGAGAGACACTGCAGTGTGGCCCTCTGGGGCTCTGCTCACATGGACAACGTGATCAAAGCAGACAGAGCTCCACCTTGTGAATGTTGCGGGTCACATGATCGGGTGGGGGGGGGACGAAAAGATAAATTGGCTTTAAAATGTTTCTGCCGGCGAGTTGCATACTCACTACAGCTCCTAAGTCCTGGATGAAAATGAGTCACAAGTCCACACCAAACGGGAAGGCTGCAGGAAAGTGAGGACTCACCAGACGCTTGGGAAAAGAAGAGGGAATATGGAGCAATAAACAGCAGGACTGGCCACGTGTGGTGGCGCACACCTGAATCCCAGCAGCTCAGGAGGCTGAGGCAGGAGGATCGCGAGTTCAAAGCCAGCCTCAGCAACTCAGGGAGGCCCTAAGCAATTTAGCAAGACCCTGTCTCAAAAAAAAAAAAAAAAAAAATGGCTGGGGACAGACGTGGCTCAGTGGTTAAGCACCCCTTGGGTTCAATCCCTGGTACCAAAACCAAAACAAACAAACAAATACAACAGCACAACTGTCCCACACAGATAAGAATACTGATTTCATACACTTGTTGGGCTGGGCAAGTGAATTAATATACACACAGTTTCCAGAACTGCATGCGGCGTGTTTTCACTGCTGGGTAAATATCAGCTTATTCTTCTCTATTCATTTTGCAAATGTGTGTTGAGCACGTGGTGGTCCGCTTAACGTGCCAACCTGGCCACCCTGTGGCACCCCGTTCACCAGCCTAACGCCCATCTAGGAGCTGCCCGGCAGGGCTCTGGCAGATGTGCCCAGCATCTAGAGTCGGCTTTTAGGTAAAAGGCTTATTGATTCAAAGTTTAATTGATCGTGCTCAATAACCTGGGCGGGCCTGACGGCATCGGTTAAAGGGCTTTAAAGGCAGAACCGAGGCTCCTCTAAAGACGAAATTCCATCCGTGGAGAGTCGCAGCAGCATCTGCCCGGGACTGAAGCAGAAGCTCTGAGCTACATGCTCTGGCCTCCCCCGTCACAGGAAGCTCTGGCCCTATTGCCACAGCCCCATCCTTCCTGTCTTTAAAACATACCCCGTTTAAGTCCCTACCCCATGACTGTAGGGGGCTTGCTTTCTGATTTCCTCTCTCCTATACCAGCAAGAAGAGGGGATTTTTATCACTGGAGATGACACCAACTCAGATCTGCATAACCAACCTTCCAACAGTGAGCGCAAACAACCCTTACCCTCCTCCAGGTGCCCGCTAGATTGACCTTCCCACAATTCACCACCCCGAGAACTCCAAACCCTTTTCCGTTGCTGTGCCACGTGGCCCCAAATTGACTGCTCTTTGTTAAAATGGTATATAAACTCTGAGGCTTAACCACTTCATTGGAGTTCTATTTCCATTTCTATGAGGCTCCTGTGTTATGTGTATGAAATTAAAATATTGGCATCAAACACTATTCGTTATGCCTATTCTCTTTTCTGTTGATCTTTTAACCAGTTTAATTTGCAGGGCCCTGGATACTGAACCCAAGAGAGTAGAAGGAAAATGACTGCGTCTTTTACGCAGCAAAATAGGAATGACGATAGAATCCACTTCACGGGGCACAGTGAGGATTAAGCAGGACAAAGCTTGAGTGTCACTTAACACAAGACCAGCTCATGGTCAGGGCTTCATAAGTGAGAACTTCTCAGACTGTTGTGAAAATACGAATCCTACTCCTCCTGGACCCCAGTATCCTTGCCCTTAAGGTTCTAGAACAATTTAGAGAAGGCAGACGACTGAATCAGTAGCTAATTTTATCAACCCTAAAAAAGCAGGCAATCGCCACCCTAAACCTCTCTCAGGAAGGGGCACTCCCATGAGGATTCCAAATACCCGAGTCCCGCAATCTTTCCTGCCAGCCCACCATCCCATCAGGCCATGAGACACTTGGGTTAACCGGGGAACCACCGGGAGCCAGCTTCTCTCTCCCCTTCCCTGGTCTGTTCTCTGGAACCCCAAGGTCAATATCCTCACCCCAGATGTGACAGAGTCACATTAAATCTTGAGCCTTCGAAGTGTCTCAACTTGATCCACATTGTCCCCATCAAGAGGGACGAGGAGCCTAAATATCATTACTGTCCAGGAAGATGGAGGAAAGGGCGGAGGTTGAGAATCCTAAAGCAATTAGTTAGGACCACAAGAGGCAGGACATCATGCAGATGGAGGCCGTGCCACCTTGAGCACAGAGGGGTTTAGCGCAGCCCCGGTCCCTTCCAATCCTGCTGGAACATTAAGCTTCCTTATTCATAATCTCGGGCCTGGGTAACGTCAGGTCTCTGGAACGTTAACACTTTCGTTTTCCTCCCTAATGACGTTGGTATTAACTGTGCTGGGTTTTAAGTACTTCACCCCACTGGGTAGGAGGGAGAACAGGAATAAGTCTGAGGTTTCTCCAAATAACCCACACCTGGCGGGGCTTACACCTACCTCCTGTGTTACACGGGCTTCCCCTGAGAAGCCTTTGCAGATTGCCGTCGTGGTGGGTGGTCTTCAGCAGGGAGTCAGTCAGTGGGTGCTGGGGAAGCTGGTGGCTTCTGATTCCAGTTACTCTAGGAGAAAGCCAGAGACACCCAAACAGTGGATCTCCCTTCCTCCAAGGCTCCATTGGTGGGAACTGGACTCTCCATTCTTTCTACCCTTTTTTTTCCCCTAGAAAAGAAGGTTTAATTTGCAGGGCCCCGGCTACTGAACCCAAGAGGGTAGGGTCAGAATATTATCTGCCAAGAGAGAGGCAGGCACCTTTGGAAGTAAACTTCTGCATAATCCATGGGCAGCGTGGTCTCTTCCCCTTTTTTGTGGTTTCAGCTAAGAACTGGTGAAAGACCCGTGAAGGTCGCCAAGACCCTCTGACTCGTCCTTTGAGGCCTTCTGCGGTCACCTAGGCTCATTCTAGTCCTGACCCAGCAGGCCCAGAAGTGCTCATTCCGCCATCTTAAATTTTGAACGTGTGCTCTCTGACCTTGAGGTGAGCATGCCCAGAAGTGGATCCGCCGTCTTTCCTTCTGGAACTCTGAGCCTCAACTGAGCATGCTCAGGAATGTGCTTACCCCCCCACACACATCCAAAGAGCTTGGGGGGAACTTTCTTTGGCAAATGACCCCAGTGCTCTCCTTACCTGCTGCAGGGACTGTCTTTCTCCACTCTTTTGTGACCTGGTTGTACTTTTGGGGGGCTTTGTATTCACCAAGAGGCAAAACCACCCTATTCAGCTACAAGAGAGCCTCTCTCTCCACCAGCAGAGCACCCCCCCACCCTGGTGACCCCCACCACTCTCAACACTCCCCCAGGTGTCCCACAGTGTTTCTGTTTGGTGTCTCAGTGCTCAAAGCTCCTTTCAAATGACCCCAGCCATGGTGAGGCCCAGGCCAGGGGAGATGATCAAGACAGGACAGTCCCAAGGGGGGACCCCA